ATGTGCACAAATTTAGAAATATCTGAAATTTTTTAAAAATGTCAGATCTCAAAAATTCCCAGTGCCCTAAAATTTCGAAATCCGGAAAAATTATCAAGGTACTTGTAATCTCGTATCACACCATTATTTTTAATTTAGTTGATTTTCTAGTGTTCGCGAATTTTGTTTACATATATTTTGAAGAGCCGGCGCCAGTGGTGCAGTGGTAAGCGTGACTGCTTTCTCACCCCAATGGGTTTGGGTTCAATCCCAGCCGAGGTCGGTGGGATTTTTCGGAGGCGTAAAAATCTCTGGTCACGTCTTCCTATGTGTTTGAATGGATGCGATATCCTACGCAGGTGTGGAAGCTGCCTTCCTGCACATTTCATTGCCGACAATGGATGGTAATCGATGTCCGTCGGTGAGTGGCACTAGATTGCGGAACAGAGACATACGATAAATAAAGGAAAAAAGATCTATTTTGAAGCGTAATATCATCACGAACTGACAAACTAATTATTGAAAACATTGGTGTTATACAAAACGTTTACTTTGTGGTCATTTTAAAGTAATATTTATTCCTCGTACGTACATAAAGCCTCGTATAAAGCATAGATAGACAATCGAAAATAATATGCTTCAATTAAAGTTTTACAGTCTTAATTGTTTCTGCAAATGACTTTCGTCTATTTCAAAGTTAGCACTAGGTCAGTCTTTACTTTCACAGCATACGTAACGAAAATGATTTTTCTCATAGAACATTTTAGTAATGGAATGTGAGAATGCGTCACAAAACCAAAACAAAGCAACTGAAGCGCCATCTACAAGTGGCTATGGTAAGTTGGCCTTATCCGTCAAGATGAGAGGGCAAAGGTTACCCTAATAAAAAATAATACCATAAACGAATGATAACCCAAATGGTTCAACTATTCTACAAATTGTTTGGATGATACCCGGAACACGTCGATTGTCTAATCGATAATTCGCTAAATGAAAGTTTGTACTACCGCTGTACCAACCGGTGGAAACTTACGATTTAAAATTGGCTCACTACTTGGCTAGCCTACTGGTCCCAAGTACATCTATAAGCGTACCCCATTCTAGTCGAAATTCTAGTACTACACTATGTTTGTTTTGATTAGCTATGAAAATTTGACAGATAAACTGAGGGGTACGTAGATTTTCGTATGTTTCGAGGGGTACATCAATGAGCTTGGGACCGAAGAGAGTACCAAAGCTGATCCAAAAAGTTGAGCACGTTTCTTTGGGACCGTCTGGTCGTAGAGTTACCTCTATGGTAGTAAATAGAGCAACATGTGAAACGGACCTTTGTGGAAAATGTAAACAATGACTTTAAACGTCGATTTCTCGTGAATATAGACTCATTCTGGCAAACCGACACCAGCATCTGAGAAAAAGTTGGCTCTATCAGATGATATAGTTAGTTTGTGTAGACGTGTTGTAATTCGGGAACAATCGACGTTTAAATACATTGTTTACGTTTTTATGCCATTTTAACATGTTGCTCTGGTGAACTCAAATTTGTGTAAATCGATTTCCCAAATTCGATTCTTAGCGTGTTGATAGTTCGCTTCTTGTCAGTTGCCAATCTGGTATGTAAAGAGGGATGGCAGATATAATCTGCCTTTCATTCATTTGTTTGTTTCGCCATTAACCTAATAGTACGTTGAGACTACAGCTGATATCACGTAATAAAGGCTTTCTTGATATCATATTATATTACGAGATATCAACTATAGTCTGAACGTAGTATAACCATAGAGGTAACTCTAAGACCAAAAGGTTCCGAAGAAACGAGCTCAACTTTTTGGCTCAGCTCTGATACTCTCTTCGGTCCCAAGCTAATCGATTCGCCCCTCGAAACATAGGAAAATCCACTAACCCCTCATTTTATCTGTCAAACTTTCATAGCGAATCAAAACAAACATAGTGTAGTAATAGAATTTCAACTATAATAGGGTACGTTAATCGTTTGCTTGGGACCAATAGGCTACTAAAGTGGTGAGCCAATTTAAAATCGTTAGTTTCGTATTGATTGTTGGTATAACGTTATGATATCAGGACAAAGTGGTGCTAAGGGTATCAAAACATGCGCTTTTTTATTTACGCTGAAATGGTTGATTAAATGTACTAGGTGTCTTCTGAGAAGTTTCTTGAGTTTCAACACTCCCTCTTATAGTAAAAGAAAACTAAAGATTAATCCACCTAAAAGTGAGATGCAATATTTTTTTAATATGATGAGATACAAAATAATTGTGTTTGGCAAAGCTGTAGAAAACATTACTGTGAACAACTTTACTGAAGACTATAACTTTTTAGCTCTTATGACTGCTGAGATATAAAGGTTTTCTTGTGGAGACAACGTTAAAATCAGTTTTGTATCTGTAACTTTTTCTAAAATATATCTACATGTTTGGCTTATTCCACAAAAATGTTAGAAATATCAAATTACATATATCAAATATTACATATATTTTTAGAAGACTGCAAATTACTATCATTAATATTTGAAAAGTTATTTAGATTTTTTGGTTGAAAATTACCCATCTTCCAATACCAATAACTTTTAAACGGGCAAAAACGAGCAGGCCATTCTTTGAGCAATTGAAAGTACAAGAAAACGCAATAAAGTGGTGAAGAAACCAGACCGCCCCAACGTAACCCTTAACCGAAATACTTGCATTGAAACTTGTCACTTTTCAGAATTTGAAATGGCGATTTTGTGAAACCAAGGGACTGTTATCGAGTAGGTGCGAAAAGAGGCATACAAATGGATAACCAAGCAACCTGGGTTATTTCTAGTGACTAACAGAATTACTCGGGATCAAAAAGAGACGTCCCTTGACTGAATTGCTTATGTACTTTGAATATTTTTCGATTTTGTCAATAAACAATACCAAAATGTTTAATGTTTATTATGTTCCGATTCAAGTTGTACGAATCTCAAAGAGCGCTTGCAGTTTCCTCTTCGTCGATATCACTGTTCTCGCCGTTGTCATCTGTGATGGACAAAAGTTGCAGAGCATCCCCGAAGCACACCTCACTCGTTATCCATTTGTATGCCTCTTTTTACACCTACTCGATAACAGTGCCGCCATTTCAAATTCTGAAAAGTGACAAGTTTCAATGCAAGTATTTCGGTTAAGGGTCACGTGGGGGCGGTCTGGTTTCTTCACCATTTCATTGCTTTTTCTTGTACTTTCAATTGCTCAAAGAATGGCCTGCTCATTTTTGCCCGTTTAGAAGTTATTGGTATTGGAAGTTGGGTAATTTTCAACCAAAAAATGTAAATAACTTTTAAAACATTATATTAATGATAGCAATTTGCAGTCTTCTGAAAAGATATGTAATTTGATATTTCTAACATCTTTGTAGAAAATGCCAAACATGTAGAAATATTTTGGAAAAAGTTATAGATACAAAACTGATTTTAACGATGTCTCCACAAGAAAACCTTTATATCTCAGCAGTCATAAGAGCTAAAAAGATATAGTCTTCAGCAACTTTGTTCACAGTAATATTTTATACAGCTTTGCCGAACACAATTATTTTGTATCTCATCAATTAAAAAAAAAATTGCATCTCACTTTTAGGTGGATTAATCTTTAACTTTCTTTTACTACAAGAGAGAGTGTTGTAACTCAAGAAACTTCTCAGAAGACACCTAGTACCTTTAATCAACCATTTCAGCGTAAATAAAAAAGCGCGTGTTTTGATACCCTTGGCGCCACTGTGCAGGGTAGGCGTGTAAGAATGCATTAGAACGCTAATTCTGTCTGCTACACCTTTCATTTTGTTAAACTTATTAATTGATTACACGCTTAAATAATAATGCCACGAATGGTTTAGGTCACCTTTCTCACCGGGAGAGGGTATTGCCAACCGGTGGAAACTAACGATTTAAAATTGGCTCACTACTTGGCTAGCCTATTGGTCCCAAGCAAATTGATTAACGTATCCCATTCTAGTCGAAATGTTTATGTTTGTTTTGATTCGCTATGAATGTTTGACAGATAAAATGAGGGGTTCGTGGATTTTCCTATGTTTTGAAGGGTGCATCGATTAGCTTGGGACCGAAGAGAGTACCAGAGCTGAGTCGTAGAGTTACCTATATGGTATTACTGTTGCGTCTTTTCAGAAACATATGGGAGCTCGACGAGATCGGAAAACGTCTGTATGCGTCTGTGCGTTATTTTCTGGGCGATGGCTGAACAGATTTGAGTGAGACAAGTTACAGTTTGGGTGTTTTGGCACCTTTAGAAACGTTAGAACTTTTGACAGACGGCCATACTTTTACTAGAGGACTTTAGGCAAGACCAGGTGACCTGTGGAAGAGCCTCTGCAAACAGCGTGGCTGGCAATAGTAGCCATGGATCGAGTCGACTTTTATAAACGATGTACTTACCGTGCTTGTTTTTGTTCTTTATTTAACATATACTATTTTATAAACAGTTTCTGAGCAAATGATTAATTGTATTAGCTCCATTTTTTTTCTTTGAGAGCACTGATATTCTTTTTTTTTCGTTAACCATTACAATATAATATGTCATCAAGATATTTGTCTTCAAAACAAGGGCTGCATATGGACGAAAAGTAATATCTCATCTAGCTGAAATGCCCTCGAACTGAATGATACAATTAGTAGGAAAACTCGTTACAAAGTAATGTGTTAAAACAGTTAGTAAGTAAGCCATAACAACTAAAGTGATCAACAGAAAAAAAACAAATAAACTCAATGTTAGTATCATATGCAAGTAAGCAGCTTAATCACCTTTAAGTACTACGACCCCCATTTAAATGACCCTTTTATGAGAAGAACACAAAAAAGCAAACATTGATGCGTGTTAAGTGTGCTGGTAAAGTGTTAAGTGTTATAAAAAAAAACAAATGGAAACAGTTTCAAGAGTGCATTACGTGCCAAAGTGTTAAGCATGAAATTAGTTGATCCGACTGAATGAACCACAGAATTACACACAAATCGAGACAGAAAAAAGACTAACCTTTCGATTGCGGCTCGTTTTTATTCCATATGGCTGTTGGGTAGAGAGGGAAAGAGGGAGAGAGAGAGAGAACGGAGAAAAATCTCAAATTAGTGATGCATTTTTTCGATTGCATTTGCGATTGGTGGATGATTTTTGCAAAATATTTTTTGTTGATTTGTTTTTCAATTTGTCGAACAGAATAAAATTACCAGGGAAAAAATAATCTATTGCCGATATTATTTACGTTGGATTTAATTAATTCTCATCAAACTCAACCAATTATGCGATTTTTATTTTTCCGCTTGGGAAAGGGAACAAATGTATGCAACATTCTGATGATCTGATTTGAGAGTTGGTGGTATTTCCGGTTAGCTGGCATTTTTTCCTCATATTTTTTTTATCTATGTGCTTAACCACGCTCCCTTTGCTGCCTGCCGCCTCGCCGTAACCGCGCCCAACCATGGGGGCATAATTCCAGTCCCGGTTATGCTTGCAATGGTCAATTAAATGCAACGCGCGTGGAGAAAAAAAATCAAAACTGCCCACCGCACAATAACAAAGAATATTGAAATTTATTAAAATTCACCTCTCTCGCTTGGCGTGCACTAATTATTGGTTTCGTCATAATAAAAATGCACCCAGCATTACCACCGGAATGGAGAGATGGTTTGCGTAGAGGAATCAAAAACATAAAAAATTGCGATTACAATTGGAAAAGTTATTAAACGTTACACACATACGTTGGAGTTGGATAACATAGAAAATCAGATGGACGAACTAGGACTGGAACGGTCGCAGGGGGAAGGGAGGATGGTAATATGGATGTCGCTCACCATGCCGTTGATGAGCTCGCACACTCACTCACCTTGTCACCGCAATGATACATTGATGAGTGGTTTTAAGGAGAGCTGGGACGGACTTGCTCATATGTAAACCGATAAAACAGAAAAAAAAAACAATGTGCGCGCCGAGTTCAAAGAGTTCACACCGGGATGGGGTGGTTCTTTGGTTGATTGAATGGAAATATATTTATTCATTAGTTCTCGTTGATTGCTTGCTGCTCACTTTTTCATAATTTTTCATAATTGTAGATTGATATTGTAGGAGAGTCAAAATTCCTGAAGTGGACCACTGATTTTTCACAAATCATTGGATTCCGTTCAAAATACGTCTATATATTGCTCTTACCACGACAAACAATAACCCAAAATATTTCGGCAAAATGCGCATTTAAACAAAAGTTATAAACAATTAAGTTTTTTGGACCCTTTTTCGAAAAAAAATCTTATCTCTAGATCGGGCCAATGAATTTATCTCCAGTTTTGATATAATCACAAGAAGACATGTTTCTTCCAAAATCACTAAAAAAATTTCATCAAAAATGTAATTTGTTTATAATAATTACAATTTTTTATAAACAAAAGCAATTTTTTTGGTGTTCCCCGCACGATACAAGATTGATTTTTTTTTAGAATTGTTCCTTGACTTTTTTTCCCATACAGAACCGTTTCAACATTTTTGTCACCAGTATTGGGAGCCGAGTTATAGCAATTTTTGTAACGCGCCGCACCAAGCGCACGGCGCCGCGTCGCGCCGCTCGCGCGTTCACGCATCGGGAAAGACACGGGAAAGACGAAACGAGGAAACGAGTTCGGACCAAGAGCGAGTAGCGACTCGCTTCGCGCGCGAGCGGCGCGTCGCGGCGCCGCGCGCTTGGTGCGGCGCGTTACAAAAATTGCTATAACTCGGCTCCCAATACTGGTGACAAAAATGTTGAAACGGTTCTGTATGGGAAAAAAGTCAGGGAACAATTCTAAAAAAAAAAGCAATCTTGTATCGCGCGGGGAACACCAAAAACATTGCATTTGTTTATAAAAAATTGTAATTATTATAAACAAATTACATTTTTGATGAATAAATTTTAGTGATTTTGGAAGAAACATGTCTTCTTGTGATTATATCAAAACTGGAGAAAAATTCATTGACCCGATCTAGAGATAAGATTTTTTTTCGAAAAAGGGTCAAAAAAACTTAATTGTTTATAACTTTTGTTTAAATGCGAATTTTGCCGAAATATTTTGGGTTATTGTTTGTCGTGGTAAGAGCAATATATAGACGTATTTTGAATGGAATCCAATGATTTGTGAAAAATCAGTGGTCCACTTCAGGAATTTTGACTCAGGAGCAAAATGTTTTCAGTGAGGAAATGTCATGATTACCCGAGATTGATCTCAATAATGGTCTAAAAATTCCAAAACGCTGGACTCGCCATAAAATGACACTTAATAGGGTGGAAACCCCAAAATCTCAGAACGCTAAACTGACCTTAAACACCAAAATAGTCATAAATTACAACCCCGAAAACTCTCAAAATCACATTGAAAACTTAAAAAAAGATCTTAAAAACGTTTAAATGACACCTAAAAAAAGTCATTCCATTTGAATAGGAATATGCCTTGAAAGATCGTCAACCGCAGTGGTTTGTTGTGATGTAAGGGGCCTAGTGGCGACAGTTTTTACTTACTGAGCAGAAGATTTCATGAGAGATTTGAGTCTATAACATTTCAAAATTGGATTAAAATCGGGTGCTTTTTTCGGTATTTTCGGTACTGGCAGTATTTTAGTTTTAAAATCAAATTTAAATAGCCGTACACATTCCAATGTGATTTAAAGTTAGTGAGTTACCCACTTTAAATTACACATGATGACATGACTTTTTAAATCTGATTTTAAAACAAAAATACCTTCAGTACCGCAAATAGCGAAAATCCACCCTAGATTGAATGGAATACCCAAGAGAGATTGTTGGGAATTCCAAAGAGGGAATATATGGAAACCCACAGAAGGATTCCCTTAAATCCCAGAATGAGTTGATGTGGAATCCCAAAGAGAGTTTCGGTAAAATCTCAAAGATTGATTCTGTAGAATTACAAATAGAGATGCTGTGGAACCATAAAGATGACATCTGTAGATTCCTAAAGATATATTCTGAGGAATCTCAGAGACACACTCAGAAAATATTATCGAACTCGATATTTTTTTATCTGAAATCTGAACAGCAGTCAGTCAAACTTTGACCTTCATTTTAAAACATTATTTTTCAAAATAATTAAATTTCATTTCCTTAATTTTACCGGCTGTTGAGATTTCGATAAAATTATCTATTTCGGCAATAATTTCTAAGTGTGGATAATCTGTGGAATTCTGACGATAGATTGTGTGGAATTCTAACGAGGGATTCTGACAACTATCAAAGAGTAGAATCCTAATGATGTATTCTGGGGGATCCTGAAGAGGGATTCTTATATTTTAATTGCTTTATTTGATCACGCTCATCCGATTAAACTTTTCACAGCCTAGTTTTCTTGTTCACTATACAATACAATCATTCATAAAACTATAGTTAAGAATATCAATACAACAAGCACCTTATCTTCCGCTATTATATATCTTATTTCTTCTATTAGAACGGGATTCACTTCCAGTGGTTTCACAAATATGTCAATCTCTGCCAATGGGGGACATAGCGCTTCCATTGGAGAAATGGACGTAAATCATGTTCTTCACTTCCAACGTCGATAATAAAAGGATCCACCAGGCATGGCAAATCATTTACATTCATTTTGTGCATTCATTTACATTCATTTGCCTCTAACTTTTTTCATCAACAGAACTCCATGAAATGAGGTATGAAGCTTTTGTAGGTTTTGATATAAGCTACAACTTTTCTGGATGGCTCAAATCTGTATATCTTATGCATGATGAACCGGGGCGAACAGAACTTACCTATGTTTTTCAGTGAATGTTAATTACATTCACTGAAAAATAGTAACAAGTTCTGCCCGCTCTAGTTCGTAATGCATAAGATGTACAGATTTGAATTATCGACAAAAGATGTAGTTAATATAAAAACCTACAAAAATTTCTTACATCATTTAACGGAATTCTGTTGATGGAAATAGTTAAAGGCTAATGAATGTAAATGAATAAACGAAATTAATGTAAATGATTTGCCATGCCTGGGATCCGAAGAGCGAACTGCAATAGCTGCTATCGAGTATACAGACGATTGCGTGATACACATCAAGAGGTTGCTGCCAACTGCTGCCAACAATAGCTGAGAACGAACTGTACAAAGAGGGATAATGTGAAATTTCAAATAGAGATTATGACAAATTTTAAAGAGGGATTCTAAGGAATTGCTATTAAAATTGGGAATCCCACCATCGAGTTACAGAATACCAATCCCATAGGAAATCATCATCACAGCAGCCATGAAGCTCATTTTACTATGATTCTATATCTCGATATCGAGATATGGAGAGTTGACTGCATATGAACAACCATAGAAGTATTCTATGGAATCCCATAGAGATATTTTGTGGAATCCTGTAGTGAGTGCCTCTGGAGTCCCATTGAGATATTATATGGAATTCAAAAAAATTCTGAGAAATCCCAAAGAGGAAATATGTGGAAAAATAATGAGGGCTACCAAAGAGGAAATCCTAAAAAAGGACTCTGTGGCATTTCATAGAGGGATTCTGTATAATTTAAAAGAAAGATCCAGTGTATTTTAAAGCGAGATTCTGTGGAATCTCAAAGAAAGATTGTTTGGAATTTCAAAGAGGAAAAGAAATTGGGATTGTTATGGATTCCCACAGAAAGATTCTCTGAAATCCCAGAGTGAGAAAGTCTGCGGAATTTCAAAGAGAGGTTCTGTGGAATCTCCATGATTGATTCTGTGGAATCCCTAAGAGGAATTCTATGGATTTTCAAAGAAGAATTCTGTTTCTGATTCATACATAGTACATTTGTCTCGAGTCCACTACAAATATCTTGAACAACCTATTTTAAATATTCATAGTCATGCTGATAATGGTTCGCTGTGAAGCAACTGTAAAATCTAGAGGAAATTTATATCTGTAACTGAAACCAGTTCGATTTTGTTTGCTAACCTGGTTAAAATGTCATATTTAATTATCTTAAAGATAAATCGTCCAGCTCAAATCTTTGTAAAAAGGGGTAAGAGGTGGGACCATCATCATCATTTA